CAAGGAATGCTATTAAGCGTATGATAATTACATAAATATTATATGACAATCAAAATGAAACAATTTCAAAACTTCTCTGATCAGTTATTGAATCAGAAACCAAAAGCAGGTTGTTTTATTCTAGTGAAAACAGTTCTGTGCTTGACTTTAAATGCTTCCCTTAACTGCCCGCAGTGCAAATAGCACCGCTGGCCTCGGCCAGACCCAGACAAATGGAAACTGAACAAAACGAGAAGCGAAAGTTTTTGTCTCTTTTCAGTATCTGGACATTTTCTCCGATTTCTCTCATTATTGCCTACAAGCACTCACTTTACTGTATTATAAAAATATCAGGAAGAATGATAAAAGCCACACATGAACCTCCAAAACACTAGGCACTGTAAACTCATAAAATGATACCTGTTTTGTCAAGACAGCAAACAAAACTCTCTGTAGTGACATATTGTTTAAACTTCGTTGTTTCACTGAAATACTTTTACCAAACCTGGGACCGAGAGAAGTTGTTTTGCTGTTTGGTTAAACATTTCTCTGAAATCAGCTTTTTGCACCTCTGCCATCGAGATGATGTAATGGAAAATGAAGCCTGTACAAGCGGTAAATGTGTGCAGGACCCACTAAAAAGGGGAATCGATTACTGAGTTGCTGAGAAGGGTATTTTAGAAACTCCCAGCCCTGCTATTTGATGCAGAGAGGAGCAAGGCATGAAGATCATGCAGCCTCTGATAAAACAGGTCTCTATTTTTCATCATGAGAGGCACTGCCAGGGCACCCAGTGCATCCACTCTGAACTCACAACTCACTTAGCTTCTCAAACTAAACTTCTCACTTCTGACGGCTGCTTCTCTTCTCAGGAGGCAGCGATTGCACTCAGAAGCAAAGTGCTCCACAGCAGGGAGCAGAAATGAATATATTGAATATATTGAATGAATATACTGCGAGCCAGGGAAGTGAAGCAGCAGGAAGGGACTTTGCAGCTTCCACGTTAGCTGCAGCTGATCCCTTCCAGCCTCCCCCTGACCCGGAGCTGTCACTGCCCAGGGGCTGGGAGCCCTCTGCCCGGCTTTCGGGACACCCTCAGCAGGACCCCAAAGGGGCTGCATGAATGCACAATTGTCAGGCGATGGTGGAGAGAGTGCTGAACCAGTGCTGCTGAAGTCCAGTCCTCCCTGCTGCTACCTAAGCTGATCCTGCCCCGTGAACAGGACCCAAACCCAGGCTAACCTTTGCCAGGAGAAAGCAAGAAGGAGAGCAGCCAGAGCACAAGAGTTTGAGGACAAAGCGTAAGAAAACATGGGAGAGGCTCTGGGCAGCTCCTGGCATCTCTGTCCTCTGTCACTTCCCCAACCAAAGTTCTGTAAATCACTGAGAGGCAAAAGGGCCACAGGCTGAGGGGTCACAGGAACAATTTCAAGCTCCTCCAGAGTCTCTGACTGTCCCAGCAGAGTTGGGAGAAACCACAAGGAAAAAGCTTTTCACAGGAAGAGCCCCTGGCTTACATCTTTTACAGGGGGATTCACATCCAGTCCTTGTGCTCAGAGGCACAGAATGAATTATGCTCTACTTCTATGTGAGATTAATTCTAAGTATTCATATCCAGCATGAAATAAACAGTATGTCCTACCTATTATGTTCAGCATAACCATGACCACCTACCTTTGTGGAAAGCACTTTTATCAGCTCATTCAGAAACCTGAATTTTGCTATTTCATTGTGAAATCTTTCACCGCAGTTATTCACACAGGTTTCTAGCACCTGCAGAAAACAAAACAGTACCAAACAGAAACTCTATACACAGGTCTTGGGGAATTTTAAAAAATAACTTTGCCATTATAATACTAAATCTAAGAACTTTTCTGGCACCGCATTCACAAATACAAGATACTGAGGAAGTTGCGCAGCAAGAACACGTGTTTTTCCTTCATCCAGCCTTCTTAAGCAGCATGTTTAAGACTGTCTGCTCTGTTCTACCCATCACTAATAACTTTTGGGCCACTGACCCTGTGGTGGGACCACAGGCCAAACAGCAAGAGCTGCAGACCACTGAAACACCTCAGCAGAACAACATGGGAAGGAACAACAGCAGTTACTCCCTCCGTTATACCCTGGTTTCTGTGTTCCTTGTGCAATGGAAAGTTAAAAGGGAGAGACATCTAAGAGAAAAAGAAAGGGAGCAACATCTAAGAGAAAAAGAAGAGGCAGCTACACTGTCTCTACCCCCCAAACTCTATTTCCAAGTTACTGCTGCCTCTCTTTGCACGCAGATGAAAGCACTTACTGTGAGAGCATGAAGAGCTTCCATCTCCTGAGGTGACTGTATTTTATGTGCCAGCAGCCTCGGTGCAAGCAATGGGCTGGGGAGTAGCAGAAGCAAGTCAGACAACACACAAGAAAAACAAATGCTGCTAATTTTACCCTGCAGAGAAGAGCAACTGCCAGATTCACAACTTGCTACATCAGGCACCTTTCCTGCGGCAGAGCGCTGGCCTGAGGCACGCACGCACGCACGCGGGGCGAGAGATGAATTGCAGCACTTGTGCGACCCCACTGCTGTCCTCCAGCCGTGCCCAGAGGCTGTCCCCTCGGAGGGAGCCAGCTGGGAGAGACTGGGGCTCTCCCTCGGCAAGCACAGGGAGACAGAGCTGGCTCTCTGCAGTCGCAGGAGCTTCGATTCACAGCCTGACCCAGCCTGCTGGCTGCTCCTGTGCACACACGCTGCTGGGGGAGATGGGTGCCAGACTACAGGCTCTGAACGCATGGGCATCTGCTCTAAAGAAAGAGATGATCACTAAGCTTTGACAGGTTATTTGATTAATTAGTTCCTGCTCCTTCCCACAGAGCCAAGCTGTCAGCTGGAAGGCTGGGAAGTCCCAGCAGAGATCTCCCACCTCTCTGAAAGGAAAAGCCAAGGCTGAGCTCACTCGGGGCTTCCCTGCAGAACCCCACAGCAGGTATCCTTGGCCAGTCTCCCAAGAGGCTGGTGAGGGCACAGTGGCAGGACCTGCTGCCTCGTGGGTTGCAGTAATGAATATCAGAACCCATTCCTAGACATAAACCTCCACTGCATTGGCATACACCTCTTTGCAGCTTATTTACTCGTTCTTGTGCAGGACTCTCGGGAGCAGCAGAGCCCAGTGAGCGCTCCCAGCTGTCTGTCCAGGCTCCCCACACCACAGCTTACAGGTCCCATTCCCCTCCGCAGCCATGAGAAGCTCAGAGCCAGACGCACAGCCCAGAGCAAACACAAAGAGCCGTCTGTCTGCCTTACCCTTCTATGTCGGTGTTCACCTGGTCACAGAACCGCTGGATGCATTCCCAGTTTTCCTCGGGGATACTTGGGTCAGTGGCTTTATCTTACACAGGGGGAAAAAAAAAATAAAGAAAAAACAGCCTCAGCGGGAGAGGCGTGCAAGTGAGCAGCACAAGGCAGGAAGCGTCTCAGACCTCGCGCTGCTACCAGCTGCTTTAGGGCTTTTTGTAAAAGAGGCAGAAATGGAAGACGCAGAACGAGCAGGAAACAGCTGTTAGTAAAATCTGCCTAAAAATACAGTCCTGAGTACACACTCCTAAAAAGTCAAAGTCAGGCATAAACTGAGGTGTTGAAAGCACCAACAGCACAACGTTGCATTTAGCACAGAGCACAAGAAACTGCTAAAAAGCATTTACAGGCAGCTCTCCCAGGACCAGACTGCAAACCTTGCTGTGCTGGAACACAGGCAGGGTTTACCCTTTTGCAACAGGGCTGCACGAGTGCCCATCCCAAAGCTCTGCCTGCATGGCTGAATTGAGGAAAACCATCTGTTTCAGCTTTATCCACTCCCCAGTCCAACGCTCAAACAGCTTTGGCAGGACTGGGGCTGAGGATGGACAGGAGAGATGGGGAGCAGGAGAGACGCAACAGGTTAAGACAGGACCCATAAGCATCACCCTGAAGGGGTTCCATGGAGGAGATGGACCCTTCTCCACAGAGATGAAGCTGCTCTGGTGCCCACCCGGTCGGGGCCAGGGGCCGGGGCTGGCCCGGCCCCTGGCCCCCAGCCCCACTCACTGAGCCACCGCTCCAGCTCCCGAACGCCGGCCATGGACTCTTGCTCCGCTCCGCCCTGCTGTGAGCAGGAAGCGGATCCACCCGCTGTCACTCCTTGCATGTTCCCACCGCTCCGCTCGCCCCTGTGGGAAGCCCACGCGAGTTTTCGTGGTATGGAAGTGTACACTGTGGGCGTGGGCTGGCTCGGTAAAACATTCCCTCCCACCCCTCCAGCTGCTCCTCCCCTTGCTGGTGTGCAGAGCAAGCACACATTGGCGAGAACAGAATCAAAAGTCACCACATTAATTTAATAATTAAAAGGTCATCATCCAAAAGAGGAAAAAACATCCCAGTCTCCTGGTCAGGGGAATTTTTAGCAGAACCATATGCATGACACAGTACACAGGGAGGAGAGTCTCCCTCTCCAAGTAGCTCACTCAGCCCAGCAGGACACCAGGGCAGCTAAGAGGGCAGCAGCTATAATATACATATTAATTTTTTTTTATATTTTTTTTATTTATTTATATAAAAATGCCCTCCCCACAGTATTTGTTGAGGACCTGTGTAGTCATAGCTGTAGGTACCCTGATTGTGAGGCCCTCTCCAAAAAGAGACCGATCGCTTGAGATAAGCCATGCTGGTATCAGAAATAGCATTACTTTCTGTCCACATGGTATGAATTTAAACACTGATAAAAGTCTCTTTGTCCCAACCTGGAAACCAGGCTATCTGCACAAGTTGAAAGCAGAAGGACGGACCTAAATCTGTATTCGGGTTCCTCTCCCAGACAAACTGGCTTATGCTTAGTGCGGATACACACAGACCTGGAAACATCATGCTGACACCTGTCTGGTCTAAAGCCCAGCTCATCTGATCAAAGATAATCATGCTGAGATCAAAAAATACAGGTCTAGGACAATGACATGTGCTGCCTACACCATCTGAGTGCATGGGCTGGATGTCGGTGTTGTTTCTGTCTCATATTAGCTAGATAGTGCTTTGTGTATTCTTCCACACACTTCTTTGGGTCCCAAAGTCACCATCATCTCAGCAACGCTCGGTCCATGCTGAAAATACATAAGAAGTCATTGTACAAACGGAAACTTACACTTTTCAGCACATGTTTATGCATCATCATGGCGGAAACGATGGAGTGATTAGCTATCAGATTGCTGTTAGACCAAGGGTAGGGGTTTTATCAGCAATCTCAAAACATGCGTTTGGGTTTTTTTCTCCTGAAGTAAAATGCTAAGAATGGTCAAACTGACCCAGAAGGATTGATGCCAGAGCCTAAGCTGGGGTAAGGCTTTGAAGAATTTTTGTGAAACTTGTTTTTGAACTTTGTAAAAGCAGAGTGCACATAAAATCCCAGTTTTGCCCAAAACCTACAACCTTGCCCACACTCCCTACAGCTGGTGCAGAGGTTTTTCTACCTTCAGATTTGTGACCAGCATATTCATGCTTTGACAACTTCTGCCTTTCTGAAACTTTCAGAACAGCCTTTCCTTTCAGAATTGCTGTATATCGGTACATTCACTCATAAAGAAACTAATGTCAATTCTTGCAAGATGTCCAAACACCAGTATCTTGCTATGAGAGAGAAGATAGCTGTTTAAAAAAAAAAAATGAAGGTCCCAGCCTCAGAATTTTTATTTTTTACCTGCTGCCCACTGAGAGCCAAGCGAAGGAGCTTCATCATGCTGCTGTACTTAGTCTCTTTTGTTTGCTTCTGGAGGCTTCTCAGGTCTGTGTTCAACTCCTCCACAGTCAAAACAGCTGCCTGCCTTGTCATGAGCCTTTAGGAAAGAAGATGCCCTTACAATCTTGGGATGTACAAAACACAGGATTCCTACCCAGAAATGACTAACGACTTCAACGACTGCCAGCTACCTCAGGCTGGTTTTGCAAAATCTCCTGGCAACAGCAGCAGTTCAAGGTAAACTTTCCTGCCCTTCACTCCTGCCCTGTGCCAGGGCACTCCCTCTGCTCACTGCAGCATTGGTCATGTACACAGGTACCCTCCTAGACTGGCAGGCAGCACTGCTTTACCTCGATACTGCTGCTAAGACTCTGCTTTGCAAAACCATACCTTTCTACTTCAACAGCACCACAAGCAGAGTTGTTCAGAAAAGCAAGCATCTAGTTTAAATCACAAAATTATGCCAAGGACCTGGAAAACCACAGCAAAAGCAGTAATTCTGATTTCTTTTTCAATAATATGATTTTTAGAGATGCAGGAGCCATCGCTGATGCTACTCAGCTGTAGGTAGCAGTACTATTGTCCCTCCAGGATAGCAAGTATTCTGACATTTAAATTACCATCACTTGGATTCAGTTACCACTCAGCTGTGACAAATGACTGAGGAGAACCAGCTTTACAGAAAGCTGGAAATAATAGCTCAATTTGCAGATACTGCCACCTTAATTACTCCCAAAACTGTTTTTCAGGGCTCGTTTTAGTTCAGAGGTGAGATCTCAACTGGTAAGGTGACTGACATACCACCTCGCCTAGCTGCAAGGCGTGGAGTAGCAGAGGGACATGGGGCAGCAGCGAAACTTGTTGGCAAAACCTCAGAAAAATCACTGGCATAGAAGGAAGATCCTAGACTGGGCAGACTGTCTGCCACCCCAGCAATGTTTCTGAGCAGACAGAACTGCAGACTGCTAACTAGAGTCAAAGAAATGGAAGCAGGGAAAGCCCCCCAGGGACGAGCTCTTCAGAAGTGACAGTGATTCTGGCTGGACATGAACTGGGTTCATTCCAGAGACCCAGAGGTCTCATTACATGATTGGAATATATGTTAACCAAAACCACCTTGCACTTCTCCAGTTCAATGCTACAGCAGACAAAAGCACAGGAGATCAGGTGGCATGGGAAAACCCTGCCAACACCGCTGCTTCATTAGCTCCGTGCTGGCACACAAACTCCGCTGTGCTTGGTGCTTTACTCAATCCAGACGTGACAATTCTCGCTTGAGAGCACTGACGTGAGCTTTCCCACTGGCAAGCTGCTTTTCAATTAAAAACACAGAATTTCTCACTAGTTATTAACTACAGCATATTCCAAAGTAAAGCAAATTAAATAAGAACTATGAGCATGTCCAACATCAATACAGCAGCCAAGAGCAATGCTCTGGGGAGGTCAGGTGGGTGTGTACAGAGCTGGGAAGAGACACTTACCCTAAGACTAGTTTTCCTATTTCATCTACTTCTGCAGAAATAGTTTGTAGCTGCTCTCGGGAGACCGAGGGCCTAACCCATAAGTAAGAATAATCAGATGACACCAGGTTCTTCAGGAGGCTTATGTGACCCTGGAGAAAGAAAGGAAAGCTGTCAAGGCTGAGGGTTAAGCTGGGGGGAGAGCAAACACATCCTGTCTGGACTTCACAAACAGTTAAAGAGGGTCCAAACACACCACTGCGTCGTACTCCGTGCTGCTCAGGGGACATGTGAATCGCTGACATTTAGGCAGCTGAGTTTTTCACACTCATAACCACTCGGTGTGAGCAGGGACACAGAAGAAGCCCAAAGGGCTGCGGCTGTACCCGTGCTGCAGAGACGCGTGTGGGCTGACTCAGAGTTAGTCCAGGGAAGTGGCTCACCACGCTCATCTGCCACCTTTCTAGAGACAGTGGGAAGTCACATGAGTCACTGTCCCGCTGCCACAGTGAAGCCTTCATGCTGGAACAGTCGGGTCTCTTCCTGCCCTTATAAAGAAGGCTTTATTCTTCACAAAGAAGTCCCCAGATACTACAGTGGCGTCCCAGGGGCAGACTGGGAAACAGCTGGGCTCACCCTCCTTCCTGGCATTGGGAAGAGCCACAATATCTTCTGTCCCTTTTACAGCCAGCACTCTGCCCCTTAACTGAGACCAGGGCTCCCAATGCACAAACCCCACTAGTTTAACCACCGAGAGCTTCATCCACCTCTGCAAAGAGGTTGCTTTGACTTTGCTACCAAAGCACAGAGCAGCGGCAAAGCAGAAGCACCTTACGCTGCCCAGCCAGCAAAAGCTAGAGGTGAGCAGTCTCCTGGCACGAGGGGTCCTGGGTGCTGGACCTTCCCACTACAAGCCAGCCACATCCTGGGCTACAGAAGTGGTGCAGCTTGGGGCTTTTCAACAGTCATCTAGACAAAGCCACAGCTGACCTGATCCAGCACTACTGACAGTCCTGCTCTGAGAGCAAATCAGAGGGGTCTCCCAAGAAAATCCTACAATTCCATGATTTGCTTCCATGGAAGGGACACGTCCTCCCTCTGCCAAGGGAGCTCTCTGCTGGCTCGGCAAAGTACAGATCAGCTTATGACTCTGCAAAGACCACCAAGACATTCACCATGCCCATTCCTACAGGTCAGCTAAGTGTATCATTGGATTTTGGCAGTCAGCATGCACACGATCACTTGAGCTGGCAGTGACAGCCATTTGCAGGCTGTGGAGCTTCAGAGCTCAGATCAAAGCAGTGCCCAGGACTCAACTGAGTCTTCATCCAGGAATCCCACAAAACCTCAGCTCCCCAAAACAGTGACACAATGCTATCACTGCTCATACTTTTCTCAGCAGGAGGACTCGCTCCACATACTCCTTTTCTAGAACCTCTTGATCCACTTGTTGATCCCCATAGACGTGCTCCACCAGCAACTGCAACTCTTTAATTAGCTTTTGTCGCAGCCCTTCATTCTCAATATGACGGGTGAGGTGAATCCTGTAACAAAGAAGAAAACTGCTTTTGGACTGCTTTGGGTTAGATTGGAACTAATCACCCCAACCTTACAACATTTACCAATTAAAACTGTTAGAAAAGCAACATTAAATCCCAGACAGACATTCTACAACAAAGCCTTAAGCACTAATACACCACAGTGAACAAAAGATCTGGTAGCTCTCAGCAGCACGATATTCCCGTAGTACACATGTACTTGCAGAAGTACCCTCTGGAAGTTTTGCCTCTTTTTAGACGTTATTTTAAATCTAAACATAAGACCTTGCATCCTCCTAGCTATACACCATCTGCCCAGGTTTTTACAGTGCGTCCAACACCAGTGTCTATGCACAGAACGGGAGAAGAGACAGGAATGGTGTAAGCAGAAACTTATACTTCTCTGTAGCGCAGCCAAAAAGCCACTGTGCTGGAACCACGCTTGATCCAATAAACAAAATTGCCAGATAAAGCCAAGTGCTAGGAATAAATTCTCACTGATGTACAGATTATTAAGTTTTAAAGTTACGACTGATATCTATACCTGTTGAATTCTGGGAGTTTTTCAAGATCCAGAAGGGCAGAATGGGTTGTAATTCTGCCTATTTCAAACTGCGAGATCAGCTCCTCCAAAGTCCTCCCCATCTGTTTCTCTGCAAAATAACCCAACAAGGGAATGATCCGCATTCATTCTCCCGCAGAGAACTAGCGTCACTGCGTTTCATTGCAAGCCTCAGGCTCAGGGCTGGGGCAGCAGCATACCCAAGGAAGAAGTGACACAGGAGAGCCACTTTTCGCAGTGCTAGCAACAACCAGGGCAAAGAGGAGAGAACTTGTAGCAGGCATGCACAGAAAGCTGCCCTCTCCCTAACAGCAGGCTCTGCTAACTATCGGTGAGCAACTGGAAACTGGGACGTTCTCTTGGCTCTGTTACCTTCCTCAGCAGAACACCCCTTGCATCAGTCAGCCAAAAGGAAGTAACACTCAGCCAGCAGGCTTCACTGCCCAAGAAAGATCCAAGCAGAATTCTCAAAACACAAGTTAATTTGTGATCCCCACACAGCAAGAGCAACAAAAGGAGACATTGACTCAACTTCTCATGGCCTTTCAGGTTAAACAAGAAGTGCGACAGATGTCATACACGACACTGCAATTATTAACCATAGAATACAAGTTTTCCCAAGAGTTCACCGACAGTTTCTTCACCTTGAGATGAATGTTGTCCCAAGTGGGAACCCATTAAGCATCAGACTCAATTTAAATGGCTGCACAGAGGCAGAAAGACTCCCACCATTCCAGCACACCACCCAGTCTTTCACAGGAGCTCTGCAGAAGCCCTGCTGGCATTTCAGTGACAGACTGGTCGCCCCACACCTGTTTCCTGATCCCTTCAAACACTGTCAAAGTTCTCAGCTATTAAAAGAAACCTAACCCATTCCCCAAAGTCAGCATCAAGAAGTTTCCTAGCAAGTACCGAGCCTGTTGCCATTACCTGCAAATCCAGAGCCACAGTTGGTTATGATGTCCAGCAGAGCCTCTGGCAAGTAGCCATCCTGAGCAAAACGCTCCAGAAAGATGTCCCCTTGCCTTTTTGACAGCTTGCCACCGTCTTTATTCAGAAGCAGCGGGAGGTGACCAAACTGAGGGGGATCCCAGCCAAAGGCTTTGTAGAGAAGGAGGTGCTTGGACGTCGAAGTAAGCCACTCAGTTCCCCGCAGAACGTGGCTGATGCCCATGTAGTGGTCATCCACCACATTTGCCAGGTGGTAAGTGGGGAAGCCGTCCCCCTTGAGAATCACTGGGTCGCCTTCCACGTCAGCCACTTCGTGCTTGTTCCAGCCATAGACCAGGTCCTGAAAGGGTTCCACTCCCTTCTCCAGTCGGAAGCGGACTACCCAGTCGAGGCCCTGTGACAGCTTCTCAGACACTTCTGTGGGTGTCAGGTGCCGACACCGGTTATCGTATCTTTGAGAAAGGAGAACGAAGGTTTCAGCTCAATACAGGCCAACCCCATCAGCCATTCTTACATTCCCAAAACTCTAAATTGACCCCTGAATTTTAGCTGTAACCTGCCCACCATATGTCCAGTCAAACTACCTCATCTCTGGAGGTCGATCCCCTAAGCCTCTAAGGGCAACGCTGGCTTCTCTCTACAGGCAGTGAGATTACAATCCTATTGCCACACACATTGTCACAAGTTTTTGCAGCACAGGGAACCACCCAGGGGGACAAGGAATCCCTACCGCGGGGTCTGCTGGCTCCGCAAAGCCTCCTTCTTCAGCAGTTCCAGGCGCTGAGGGGTACAAAAGCAGCGGTACGCCGCGCCTCTCTCCAAAAGCACGTCACTGGTTCTCCTGTAAAGGTCAAGTCTGTGTGACTGCTGGTAGGGTCCAAAGGAACCACCGCGGCGAGGACTCTCATCAGGGGGAATACCTGAAATATCAGTATGACGGGACTTAGAAAGCCCATAAAAAGGCAGAGTAAAACCCACTATTGGAGCACACTGAATGAAGATGAAACAGCAAGGTTCTGGAGAGTGTCCAAAGATGGTTTCTGCTCCAGGGCAGCCAGCTGACAGCATCTGCCTGACACAGGAGTCAGATTCTCCTGGACTCAAGATAAACAGCAGCCAACAGCTTCAGAATTTAAGAGTGTTGTGTGTGAAGCAATGAGCAGAAAAACCACCAGAACCTAGTAAATAGTTGAGTGGCTCTGATACACTACTTAGAGCAAAATGCAGTCAGGTGTACACATACGAAGTAGCATCCACCCTTTTTATAGCAGAGAACATTCGTACCACAAAAATCCAGTTGAGACTTTAGCCAATTATTTTACCTGCTCCAAAGTTATTACTCAACAGCAAAGTCCTAGTCCCTTGAAGTTTACCAACCCGTTAATGGCAGCATCTGTGGGATCTGGCTCTGACTTTATCACAATTCTGTATTCTAAAATCACCCTCACTTCTAGTTCTTAAGCTCAAAAAGAAGCAGAGGATTCAAAATGAAAACTGACACCTCCAGATCCCCTTTAGCAAATACTCTGTATGCAAACAATTTATCCATTTACAGCGAGGTCTGTGTGCTCCAACTTCTGACCTTGCCGTCAAGTCTCTCATGCACAACTTCTGTTACAACTGCACATCGGGCCACTTTCACAAATTTAGATCTTTCTGTGTGTCAGACAACACACCAAAAGAAACCAAGCCTAACCAGTTATTTCTGCTATAAAACATACTTCCAGCAGGACTTTCCTGATGCCTAGCTGTAGAAATAACGACATTTCAACTAATTCATCATCTGAAACGCTGCATAGCTTGCTATCATGCAAAATACTCTCAATTTGGGTACTGTTAATCTCTAAAAAGAAGAGAATCTTTCAGTAAGTAAAAAAATGAAAGATGTTTGTAAATACCTGCCCAATCCAGCATATCTTCTATTCCTTCTGCAGCTCCAGGGACCACTCGATTTTGATCTGTATCCTCCACTCTCAAAATAAAGGTCCCTTGGTGTTTTTTGGCAAAAATATAATTGTACAGAGCCGTCCGAAGGCCACCCAAATGCAGAAAACCTGTTATCATGTGGAAATCAGAGGAGATCATAATAACTAAGGCCCAATAAAGAGATTTTTATCCCACCACGGGGGAGTGAGCGAGTGGCTGTGTGGTGCTTAGTTGCTGGCTGGGGTTAAACCACGACAAGCTCATGCTTAAAAATGCCTTCCTGAAGCCAGGACCGAGCTGGAAGGGCAGTGCTACCTGTAATGGAAACTGGTATTGAACGCTAACGGGGGGGCAGGGAGGCGTGCTGCACAGGGACACTGGCTGGCTTTGCGGGCCTTTGCTGTGGAATTACATCATTGGCAACTGCCTTCCAAGAACGCATTCCCTGAAGCGAGCGGGCACCACCCGCAAGCTGGCAGCGCTAGGAAGTACCGTTGTTGACGGGACCCGGCGCCTTCCCCGCGCTGCCCTAAGGACACAACCCGCAGCCGCCCCGGGGTCTTATTTATTTCCACCCTGGCCGGGCGAATCCGACCCGGGGAGCTCCCGGCAGGAGCTCCGTTCCCTCGGCACTCGGGGGCGGGCGGGTACCTCGGGGAACGCAGCGCAGGGAGCCGGCCCCGGCCGCGGCCGCCCCCCGCTCCCGGCACACGCTCCCCACGTGTCTGGATTCACGTTTTCCAACCC